GCGCGCCGCGGACTACAGCTCCCGGCATGCACCGCGCGGGCGGGCCCGCGTGGCCCTGCGCGGCCGCCGTCCGTCCGTCCGTTCCCCGCCGCCCCGCGCCCGCCGCTATGGGGGCCGCCGTGTTCTTCGGGTGCGCGGGCATCGCGTTCGGGCCGGCGCTCGCGCTCGTGCTGCTCACGGTGGCGGCGGAGCCGCTGCGCGTCATCATCCTCGTGGCGGGGTGAGCCCGGGGGGCTCTCGCCGTTAAGCGCTGCGGCCGTGAGACCCCGCGGGGGCCGCGCTCGCGCCGCCCGGGCCTGGGGCCGGCGGCTCCGGAGCCGCCTCGTGCGCGGGGCGCCTCGTCCTGCGCCGTGCGGGAGGCTCCCGGAGAGCTCCCGCGCGGAGCTGCAGCGCTGCAGCGGGGCTGCCGTCGAGCGCAGAGCTCACCGAGTCCCGCGACACCGGGTCCCGCGCGGGAACCCCGCCGCTGCCCCGGCCCGAGCGTCCCCCTTCCTTTCCGCRCAGGGCTTTCTTCTGGCTGGTGTCGCTGCTCCTGGCGTCGCTCGTCTGGTTCGTTTCGGTCCGCCTGAGTGACCGGGAGGACGCGAGGCTGCAGTTCGGCCTCCTCGTCTTCGGGGCTGCCGTCTCCGTGCTGCTGCAGGAGCTGTTCCGGTTCGCCTACTTCAAGCTGCTCAAGTAAGGGCCCGTCCGAGGGCTGCCGTGGGGCCCAGCCCCASGGGACACCCTCCCTGGGGACCCCCAGGCGCACGGGCTGTGGCCCAAGTGCCTCCTTTGGGTGGCCGCGGCTGTGGCTGCCTGTTTGTCCCCAGGGTGTTGCAGGCTCCCTCCACATCCTTGGTAAACAACCCGCTTTCCCTGACGTGTTGGAAGGTCTGCTCAGGTTTCCCTGAACCTCCCTTTGCTGGGCAGAGTCCTGCGCAGCCCCAGCTCCAAACTAACGACCTCTCTGCATCTCCCTGTCCCCCYTTTTTCCGTTTTTGTCCCCTCCCCGTGCAGGAAGGCTGATGAAGGCTTGGCTATGATCAGCGAGGACGGCCGGTCGCCCATCTCCCTCAGGCAGATGGCCTACGGTGAGCKCCGAGCTGGGCAGAGCTGGACTGGTTGCTGAGACCAAACCTTCCTGCTTTGCTCTTCTTTTGCCCTCCGGCCTCTTCCCTGGGGTCCCTCTTAGCTTGGGCAGTGGGTGGTTTCCATAGACACTGCTGGTGTCTCAGGTTTCTCRTCTGGATGCTGCCTGGAAATGTCCCTGCCATCCCCACAGGAGAATCCGTGTTCCCCCCGGGCCAGGCAACTCCGAGGAGAAGAGGCGGGAGCCGCTGGGGACCATGCTGGCTGACGTCCTTCTCCCTCCGCAGTGTCGGGCCTGTCCTTCGGGATCATCAGCGGTGTGTTCTCAGTCATCAACATCCTGGCGGACTCCATGGGGCCGGGCGTCGTGGGCATCCACGGCGACTCGCCCTACTACTTCCTCACGTCGGGTGAGCTCGGCGAGCGTCCCGGGGGCTCGCGAGGTGCGGGAGGCGGTTGGGAACATCCACCGGGAGTCGATGCTCGGTGCGGTTGGAGCACAGCCCAGCCCTTGTGCTGCGGCTGCAGGGTGCAGCAGGTCTGAAGCGGGTGGTCTGTGCCGCCCTCTCCCTGCAGCCTTCCTCACCATGGCCCTCGTCTTCCTCCACACTTTCTGGGGAGTGATCTTCTTTGACGCCTGCGAGAAGCGGCGCTACTGGTGCCTGGGGCTGGTCGTTGCCAGTCACCTCGTCACGTCGGGGCTGGTGAGTGTGACGGGACGCGCGGGCACCCAGGAGCTGGTGCTGGAAGCTGTCACCAGAGTAAACCGGCTCTCTTGTCGCCGGGAACACTCCTGGATACAGGGAGGGACGCAGGGGACATGGGTGCTGTGTGATTCAGCCTCTAAGTGTCTTTGGGAGACATGGGAGAAGCCCTGTCCCTCTCCTGCCCTCGTGTGCTCAGGGGAGTGAGATTTAAGGGGGGTTAGTGGAGGATGAGGTCAGCGGGAGGATTAGCTGCTAAGCTCCGGTGGGAAAGGGCTGCGCAGAACTTAAACCAGACCGTTAACCAGGCATGGAAGAGCCCTGGGTCCTGTTCCCTCTGCACTGCCGTAGCTTGTGGCCCTCTCGGGAGGTCTCTGGAGGTGTGGGGAGGCAAATGGTGACTGTTTTAATGCAGTTCGGTGTCCCCTCAGACGTTCCTGAATCCCTGGTACGAGGCCAGCCTGGTCCCTATTTACATCATCGTGGTCTGCATGGGCGCCTGGGCCTTCTTCACAGCTGGGGGCTCCATCCACAATGTCCTCAAGTGCCTCTCTTGTAAGGGGGCCCGGGGAAGGGAGAGGACACGGGGTGACACGCGGGTCCCTCGCTTATCCCCTGTGGGTTTTTGAGTGGGATGGATGCGGCCGCTGGGACTCCCCAGCGCTCCTGGGATCCTGGTGGGGATGTTGGGTCTGGCCCRAAGTGTCTCCTTGTTGCCTCCTGGCCCTCGGGGGCTCCTGTCGCCGGCCCTTGCCTGCCCCGAGTGGCTTCGTGGCCAGGACAGCCCTTCTGCCTGCGTGCTCTCCCCCCAGGTAAGCGCGAGGAAGACTCCCGTGTGATGATGTACTCGGCACTACGGGTGCCTTTGGAGGACTGAGCATCCTGGCCCGCCGGGCGCTTCTCTTCCCAAATGCCCTGTTCCTGGTGGCTGGAAGCTCCCGTGGTGCCGCTCGAGTGCACGTGGCGCCGGGGCAGCCTCTGTCCTGGGAATGTGCAGAGACCCGGAGCCTGCGGTGGCCGCAGCTGCTCCCCGTGTCATGAACCTCTCATCGCTCCCGCTCCGAGGAGGCTTTTCGGCTCCTTTCTGCCCGACCGGTGCTGCCCTCGGGTGCTCCCGTCCTCACGGTGCCGTTAGCTTCCTTGATAATGGGTTAGATATTTTTTATGGGTGATGTGGGATTTAGGGGGGGGGAGCGGCTCTGCGGGCTGGGTGCAGACCCAGCCTGTCCCGCCCAGGGAGCCGCTGGGCCTGGGGCTGCGCGCGTCGTCCTGGCGCTTGGGGTCCCCAGGGACGCGGTTCGGCGGGGACAGCTCCCGGGGGGCTGCTCGCTGCCCCCCTCTCAAACTTTCCGCCTGGGTCTTTTCTACATCAGCAGCAGTGCTTGGTGCCAGGTGGGGGGAGTTAAATTATTTTTTTGATTCAGAGTAAAATCGTTTTACTAGACTGCTTGGTGCTGTGGAAGGGGGATGGGTGGGGAGGTGTGGGTCCCTGCCGGGGGGGACACCCGGGGGTCCCGCGGGGCCTGGCTCCGTCCAGGGCAGCTCAGCATCATCGTCCGTCGTCGCCGTCAGGGCCCGTGCCGTCCTGCATCCACACGGCTCTACCTTGAYGGACAGAGCGGGGGGCTGAGACGAGAGGGGTGTTCAGGGTCCACCCCGCCCCGGCGCCACYGTCCTCACCGCATCCTCTTGGCCACGAAGTAGACAGCGAGGACGAGGCCAGCGCAGCCCGCGCCGGTGCCCAGCACGATGGCGACCACCTCTCCTGCGGGCCGGGCAGCGCTCAGCGGGGCCAGCGCGGGGCCACCTTGGTGCCAGCGCGGGACCCCAGCTGCCCCCTACCTGCCCCGTATCCCGTGGGCCCTGCGGGGGGAATTGGCGCCGCTGAGCGCGGGGGCGGCGCGGGGGGCAGCCGAGCGCCCGCTCCCCCGGCCCGGGCTCACCGG